CCGGGGCGTGCGGGGGGGTGGCGGGGGAGCCAAACCACAGGAGATGGCCTGGCCGCAGAGGGAGCTCCGCACACGGGCCGTGGCTGGAGGAGAGGCATCGGCTCACAATTTTGAGTAGGCAGAGGGTGGCTTGGCAGTGCTATCTGGATTACAGCACATATTATTGCTAGCCTAGATCCTCTTTTTTTAAAGTACAGTCAATGCCACATCTTGTATTAAGACAGAAACTCCTTTGGGAATCTGCTAACATTTAAGGAAATATTCAAGTCACCTACTTTCGGAACCCCAAAGGGAATACACTCCTTAATTGAACGATACTTACTAATAAGGCCCCAATTCATTCAAGGCATTTCCATGTTACCAAAATATCCAGTCTCCCAAGAACTAGTTTCAACTCCACAGAGGCGTGTCTGAGGAAGACTATTTAATATCAGAAAAAGAAGAAAATCTACCTGTTTTCTGCACAAATGCTCTCCACGAAACAGCATAACATTTGAGGCACACTGGCAAGGCGTGTGAAAACCTTCTAACTAATTTTTATTACCTATTCAGGCTTCCCATCTTTCATTAAAAACAACACAAGGACAGAAACAAATGCATCCACGTGGTTTCACTGTAGACCAAGCACAGCACAGGCAGTAATTATAGAATATCAGATAATTTCCTCTACACCAAAATACAGAAATGTAGCAATTAAAGGGGGAAGGAAAGAGTATGTGTTTAGAAGCCAAATTTTCAGGCAATCTCATTGCAAATTATTGTATTCTGTTTGAGGTTGGGATTTAATAACACCAATTAGGAGTTTTACAAGCTAGTAAAACTGAAATTTCCTCAGCTAAAATGAGCTTCATTGCCCAGAGCAAAGCATTTTCCATTTATAGACTTTCTTATTAATGAACATCTTGAATTTCTGAACAAAGGAATAAAAGCCTTCTTATAAAATCAGAACAGCATCTTCTCAATCAATCACAGATGAGCTGAAAACCCCAAAGCCGAATCCTGATGCAGAGCCCTCGGGTTTGCCCAGTGCAATTGCTCCGTGCCTGATCGGGGACTTCCGTGGGACTTCGCGACGCGGGCTTGCCACCGGCAGAAGGAGCACGAACCAAACCGCATGGCCTCACGCCTCGGAGGCGAGCTCTGCAGTTCAGAATCGGGGTGTATGCAGAAACTTGATTTGTAACTAATGCAGGAACTGTTTGCAAATAAAGATGAATTTTGGGCCTATTGAGCCGTCAGCTTTTACAACCACTACGCCGCTCCATTATTTCAAAGAATGCAGACACCAGCTGAAGAGCTGCATCTCCAACCATCGATCACTTACCAGTACCACTCTAAAAATGAATGTCCTATATCTAAATAAATGCTTCTGAAAAAGCTTACTTATTCTAAAGGGGTAACGGACTATGAATCCCAGCCTGTTCCGCTAGTTTAACTGTCTCCTCGTGCTTCGGTTGGTTGGAGGTGACAAATGCACAGGGAAGAGAGAAACCAACAGGAAAAAAAAAAAAAAGAGTTTCCTCTTGGAAGCCAAGTATAGTTCCATGAAATTCAAGCTTTTTAGCAGTACAGATTTCTAGAACGAATGGTCTGTCAAGGTCTTTTTTGGCGGAGAGTTACAGCGTATGAATATGAGGGGCACTATGTCACTGGCTGGTTCCAAACGCACTGCGAATGGGAAGGGTTTTTCTGGTGATGTTATTCTGTTCATAAACTGCTCTGCAAAGACTTAAAGCTGTGTTTGAAATCAGACAGCAGAAACTATTTTTGAGGTATAGAACATCTATAGGTGCCTGAAGCTATGTGAATTTGCTCAGTCTGGCCTCTTCTGAAAACATCTGCTACACCCACAAAAAAACTGACCTGCAGAGCAGAAAGCTCTCACCACTTGGTGACATGTTTGTATCTGAAGCTTTGTTAACCCTTCAGCCTTATTTAGCATTATAATTTTGCAAAAATCAAGATATTCGATGGAAGATACCTAGGATTCTGGGCTGCAGACAGGGTGCAATCAATTTTAATATTATGCTAGAGCACAAGTTGATACTGAGCTGATGTTTTATAGTACCCGTGCTTCCAGCCCTCATCCAGGCTCCAGCGCACCGGCAGCCAAGAGCCTGTGCCAAGTCTCACCCCTCACCACAGCGCTTTCCTTGCTCCCTCAGGCCTATCTTGCAATGTTCAGAAAGCAGACTACCCCCACCACCATTTTTGAAGACCTTTCCACAGCTCATGCTTATAAGAGCCAGGGACTGGGGCAGGGGAGGAGGCACACAGCAGCACTAAGCTCCAAAGGCAGGCCTGCTGCTAAGCTGGCATCAGACACATGCCATCACCACCAACCACTTATTCTTGGAACTCAGTGCCCAGGTCAGCTTCTCTGCCATCACCTGTTATACTTTCTGCCTTTCCTTGATGAAGATAAATTTTCATCTCAGGCAGTGAACAGAGTTGTTTCTACAATGGTTAACAGCCCAATTAGCCTATGTGAAATTATTCTCTCAGACCCAGTTCTGTTCCTAACACCTTTCTCTGGACTCATTTCATAATTTTATATCCAATGATTTTTATTAACATCTGCTTGGCAGTTTAAGTAGACAGCCTACCATGCATCTGCAGATAAAGTCCGTCCTTCCACTGTCCATGTTGTTTTGCTACTCTGCTGCTGTGCCTCCACCACAAGAGAGCAGAACCATCTCTCCACTTCACACGCGATGAGCTGCTGGTCTCCAGCAGCCTCTACATGCGCAAACATTCCAGCCAACTCCTGGTAACTGCCCGTGGACTATCTGGCCTTCCACTACAAGGTTTGGAGCTAGCTACCCCAGAGGCATCACATTATTTTCGCAAATCAAGCAGTATTTTGGGATAGACATAGTGAACACAATCCTTTCTTAAACGTTGTGTGGAGTCCAGCTTTTCTTCTTCAGCCTACAAATTAGTATCTCAAATGCACAGATAACATTATGAAAAAAAGCATAAAGTGTTTTATTCTTTATTTTAAATGAATAAAATAAATCTCAATACATACTTTGGAAATATTTAAAGACATCAGAAAAAGAAAACTAGACTTAAAAGCAAGTACAAAAGTGGCAGGATGAAACCAGTAGAAGCTAACACAATTTAGTGTTTCAAGAGTGAATATATAACAGCAATAGCAATTTTAAGTATTCCACTACTGCATTCACAATAGTGAAGTAATGAGATAGTATTTCACTAAGTGAAAAGCTGTGAAAATTGCAAGCTTTAACTGAGAAGTTTTGCCATTTTAATGACGGGTCTGAATATTGCTTTTATCTGCATTTATGCATATGTCTATGAGGGGGAGAGGAAGGCCCATAATTTCAGCCAGCGGAGTATTAGTTGGTGTGTAGCAGCTTTGTAGTGTCTTACAGAAAAAAAGCACTTTTACAACCTATTCCTGGTTCTCAGACAAAGAGAATTCTAGCTTGTACAAACTGCAAGTCCCAGGAAATACTGACATATACAACCCTAAAACTATTTTTTATCTGTCTTTTTTTTATTACAGCAAGACCTAAGAAAAATATTCAAGACCTTTCATTTTTATCAAAGTGCAATATACTGCATACATAATTCCACACCTGTAAACCACAAAGTATACATGCCATGCACTGATCCATACCAGTTCGTAGGAGAAACTGCAAAAGTATGACTGTCGTGCATGTCTTTTGTCCTGACCAAAGCACACTGTGCAAGAAAGAAATACCTATATTGCATGTTGTAGAATAGAATTTACTAGTAACTTTTATGCCTGATCATTACAAAAAACAACT